AGGCGTTTTTAGCCGAAAAAAACGACCATGTACCGAAAAAAAACAGACCAGACAGACGAGATGTTTTTTTACCCCCCCCACCCCCCCAAAAAGCACTACCATCCATCCATCCATCCATCGATCCGTTTTCAACACGGCTTATCCTGAAGAGGGTCGCGGAAGTTGCTGGAGCCTACCACAGCTGACTTGGGGTGAAAAGCAAAATAACCCCTGAACTGATCGCCAGTCAATCACAGGGGACACATAGAGACAAACAGCCATACCCACCCACATTTACACCGTCACTGAGTGGGAATCGATCCCACACTGTCCGCACACAAGTCAGGCGAGTGTGCAAGAGTACAGCAATGTTGCTGATGGTGGAGTAGTCCATGGTCGGTTTTTTTCTGTAGTTTATAAATGTTTCTAGTCTTCAGCATGTCAGTATCGGGGCGAAGCGAGGTTGCATGATATGAATGAAGTAGAGTATAGTTTGTGCTGTGCTCACCTGGACGTGGGAGCGCAGGCAGTCGTCTTCTCAGCTGTCTGGACGAGCTCAGCGTGAGAGGCTGGAGAGACAACGTCGTCTTTTGTGTGAGGCCAATGATATCATGCGGGTCGGGTCACATCACACGCGCGTGTGACAGCGGAAAATACATTGCCAGTACTTACCATGACCGGGACGGTCCTGGCCTTGGCGAAGCGGGACTGCGGGTCCACATCCAGTCCGGCGCTCCTCAGAGATGCGATCCTCGCAGAGATATCACTGATCTGCGACGGAACATACTCGGTTCAAACAACATACCGCGATACACGCGCGCATTTGCACGCATTTACACACGCATGCCATAGCGAGCAACAGCCGCAACGGCCCCTAAGATGAATGAAACAGAAAAATAAAGCGGACAAGAGTTTGTGAAAATCCCTGCCTACCTTCGTTTTGGGGTTTGGGTTTGGGTCCCGAATCCAACAAATGCTCACCTGCAGCTCGGACTGCTGAACCCGGGCGGCGGCCGACGCGACCTGTTCCTCCAGGAGGAACAGCTCTGTGTCAGACGTGCTGCTGGAGATGCCCCTGGCGCGTTCCTCCAGCGCACCAAGTTCGTCCTCCACGCCGTACACTGAGCCCGCCGCAACATACACCTGCGGAGAACGACGTTGAAAGTACCTGCCACCGTTAAAGAAAGTACCGTTTCGCTCTTTCAGATCGCCGAGCATTTACAATATCAAGAGTCGCATTATTTTTGCATTTTTTTCCGAAATAATAATAAACTTTATTGAAAAAAAAAACGGCGTGTACAGTAATCCCCCATTTGTCGCAGGAGTTACGTTCCAAATAGAACCCGTGATAAGTGAAATCCGTGAAGCACTCATCTTTCTTTTTTTTCACAATTATGACGTATGCACTACAGTAATGAAACCAAAGACTGAATATATTACATTGTAATCATTATTATTACGAGTTTATGTATTATTGATTAATTAAATGAATTATAAAATCCGGCGCATCAACTCATTTAAAAAATCCAAAGGTTCGCCCAGCCCAAAACTACCAGCTACCTTCTCTTCCAGTGCAGCGGTGTGTACAGTAATCCCCCATTTGTCGCAGGAGTTAAGTTCCAAATAGAACCCGTGATAAGTGAAATCTGTGAAGCAGTCATCTTTCTTTTTTTTCACAATTATGACGTATGCACTACAGTAATGAAACCAAAGACTGAATTGATTACATTGTAATCATTATTATTACAAGTTTATGTATTATTGATTGATTAAATGAATTATAAAATCCGGTGCATCAACTCATTTAAAAAATCCAAAGGTTCGCCCACACAAAAAAAAAACCCCAACATTTTGTGAAAAGGCAGTTGCTTGGTTTTGCGAAGCGATACAGTTTGGTCCCAAACGGTAAATTTTGATGTTGGAACAGCAACCACAGTTGTACGGGCAAACTTGAATAGTAAGGCGTTTTTAGCCCCAAAAAACGGACCATGTATAGAAAGGCGTTTTTTACCGAAAAAAACGACCATGTATCGGCGTTTTTTTACTGAAAAAACTGACCATGTATTGGCGTTTTTAGCCGAAAAAAAACGACCATGTTAGGGAAGGCGTTTTTAGCCCCAAAAAAACGACCCTGTATAGTCACCCACAAACCCAATGAGGACAAAGGCTATTGTACTTAGCTTAGTTTGTCCGTTGCCCTGTTCACCCCATCCTACAGCAGAAATCCGATCAGGAATTACCGTTATCAAACGCTACTGCTAGCATTGTGCAAATTGCCATAAAGAAGCTTGCCCTCGGTCCGTCTCACCTGTTCCAGCAGGGTCGATATGAAGTGTACCGCATGGTACACTTCAGCGTCACTAGCCTTCAGGATGCAGGAAGTGCAAGCGGGAGGAGGAATGAGAAGTTACGAAAGCAAGCGCTTGGTTAATGAAAGCTGAAGCGACAGGTCGGCGAAAAGGTTCCTCACATTTCTGATGTCGTCCGGCAACGGGAAATCCTCCTCCACTGCGGCCATTTTTCTTCTCGGGTCCTCATCTTTCGCCGCCGCCACTTGTCGTTCCTGCTGTCTACCAGCTGGATTACTGAGTGGAAGAGCAGCGCCTTTGTGCGTTTCTGAGAGTTCTTCCACAGTTTGTTTCTCTGCATCTTCGAGTCGACTTATTTGTTCTTCCTGGGCTTCTTTTACATCTATTTCGTCCGTCTTTGCATCCTTATCCTTTTCTGTTTTACTGTTGGTGGCTTTGTACTTGCCATTTTCTGTCCTCCAGTTTTTTTTCCTCTCTTTGCCGGTCTTGTCATCCCCAGTCCTGTTCTCCTGTGTCTCAGCCTCGTTCCAATCCTTCTCGACTTTGACCTTGTTCCTGTTCTGACCTGGTTTGGAGTGTTCATTTCTCTGGTCTGTGTTCGCACAATCTTTGCCCTCTTTGTCTGTCTGCACATCCTCGTTCTTTTCTGTCTTTGCAACATCTTCACTCTTTTTGACATTCCGAGTATTATCTCTGCGGCCCTTCGGGTGTTTTTGCCTCTCCTTGTCCATCTTGCTTTCCTCGTTCCAGATTTGGTCTGTCTTTGCATCCTTGTTCCTGTACTTGCTTGTCAGTGCACCCTCGCTGTGGTCCTCATCTGTCTTTGCGTCCTTTTTCCCGTCATTGTCTATCTTGCTTTCCTCTTCCTTGTCCGTGTCGGTCTGTGCATCCTTGTCCCAGTCCTTCCGTGCATCGCCTTCCAGGTTCCAGTCTGCGTCTATCTTTGCATCCTTGTCCCTGTCTGTGTTTGCATCCTTGCTCAAATCCGCGCCTGTCTTTGGATCCTTGTTCCAATCGCGGGTTGTCTTGGGATCCTTACTCCAGCCCTGGTCTGTCTTGGCTTCCTCATTTCCTTCCTTGTCTGTCTCTGCATCCTTACTCCAGTCCATCCATGTCTTTGCATCCTCGCTCCAGTCTTTGTCCGTTTGCTGTTCCTTGCTTGTGTTGTCATCTGCTTTGGTGTCCTCTTTTGTCGCGTCATCAATCTTCATATTGTCTTTCCTCTCCATATCTGTCTTTTCCATCTTAAAGTCCTCTTTCCGCCCCTTTTCTGTTTTTGAGTTGTCGTTACTCTTGTTAGCATCCTCGTTCCGGTCCCTCTCATCTGTCTCGGCTTCCATGTCCTGTTCCATCTTATGACATGTCTCCTTGTCTCTATTTACAGCCGTGTTACTTTCATTGTCCGTCTTAGTGTCTTCTGCCAGAGCCTCAGCTGCCTTGATCCTGTCCCTGTTATCATCCGTCATCACGTGCTCTCTCTGGTCCTCAACGGCCCTGTCGCAGTCCTCGTCTGCCTGTGCGTTCTCACAACTTTCCTTGTTTGTCATTGTTTCAACTTTCCTCTCCTCACCTTCCTTTGCATTGTTGTTCTCGCCTTTCTTCTCATCCTCAGTTTTCTTTTCCATCTTGACATCATTGTCGCTCTCCTTTCTGTCCTCTTTCAGGTCCTCATCTGCCCTGTTCCAGTCCTCGTCCGCCTTTGTGGCCTCTTTTGTGTCATGTGTTTTAGTGTCTCTGATCCCGTTTTCATCGGTCTGCAGATCCGTGTTCTTCTCATCCTCTGTCTCTTTGTCAGTCTTGATATCGTTCTTCCTGTCTGTGTTTCCATCTTTGTTCCATTTCTCATCTCTCTTTTCTTGCTCCACCCTCTCATCAGCTGTCTTTGTATCCTCACTGCTCTCCCTGTCTTTCTTCATGTCCTCATTTGTGATTACATTATGGTTCCGACCCCGAGTAGTCTTTGCATCTTTGTTCCCGTGAACATCCTCATTCTTCTCGTCTGTCTTGCTGTCCATTTTCGTATTGTCCCTTGTCTTTGTTTCTTCTTTACTCACATCACTCGTCTCCTTGTCCATTTTTACATTTTTGTTGCTGTCCTTGTTTGTATGCGTGTCTTCATTTCTTTCCTCATTTATGATTGAGTCAACTGTCCTCTCAGTCTTTTCTTCTTCATTCCGATTCTCTTGTTTTCCATCCTCTTTTGGATCCTTGTTACGGTCCTGGTCTGTCTTTGTGTCCTCTTTCAGGTCTCCAATTGCCTCGTTCCTGTGTTTGTCCATGTTTCCATCCGTGCTCGTGTTCTTTTCTGTGTTTTCATCTTCTTTCCTCCCATCTGTCTTTGTACTCTGGTTGGTTTCTTCGTTTGTCACCATATCATCCTCTCTCTCTATGGCAGTCTCTGCGTCCTTGTTCCTGTTCTCATCCTCTTTCGTCTCGTCTGGATTTGCGTCCCTGTTCCTGTTCTCATGAGCCTTTGAGTCCTCTTTCTTCTCGTCAACTAAATCCTCGTCTGTCTTTAAATCCTCATTCTTGTCCTTGTCTGTCTTTGAGTCCACACGTTTCTCATTGTCTGTATCCTTCGGTGACTTTATATCATCATCATCATCATCATCCCTGTTCTCGTCTTTCTTTGTGTCCTTGTTTCTTTCCTCATTTGTCATCTCATCATCTTTCCTCTCCTCATCAATCTTTGCATCCTTACTCCTTTCCTCGTCTGTCTTTTCGTCCTGATTCTTGTTCTGGTCTGTCTTTTCATCCTCTTTGCATTCATCATCTGGTTTTGTATCCTCATTCTGCCTCTTGTCCATGGTTGTGTCTCGTGTCCTTTCACCGTTTGTCATCGTATCATCTTTCCTCTCCTCATCAGTCTTTGGATCTTTGTCCGTCTTTCCATCCTTTTTCTTCTCTTCAGCCTGAGCATGTTCGCGGATATCCTCCAGTGTCAATGTCAACATGCTGCTAATGATTTTGTTGAAGTCGACATCTTCCTCCTCGCTCTCCCCCTTCCCAACGCTCTCGTTTCTGATGTCTTCCTCTTCCCGTTCTGCTTTTTGATCTACCAGCTTCACTTCCAACTGATCCAGTTCTGGTCTCCTTGTTCTCTCTTCCGCCTTTTCTGATTCCATCCCGTCACCATCTAATGCTTCCACCGCCGCACCTGAAAAGTTGTCACTCATTGGATCCTGGAGTGGTTCCTCCCCCATGGATTCCCAACGACTTCCCCCCGTTTCTCCCCAGGGTTCCTCACCTCGCATCATCTTTTGTTCATCCTCACCGACTCGATCGAGCTCATCCTCAGTGGAGGAGAACTGCGAGGCACTGACCAGACTGGCCAGATGGCGCACCTGAGTGGCCTGTGCCGCCTTGTGCTCCTGCAGCCTCCACAGTGTCTCCTCATGCACAGCCTCCTCGCGGTCCAGCTCATCTTCGGTAGAGGAAAACTGAGTGGCGCCCGCTTGATTGGCCAACCGGCACAATCTCACCTCCAGCGCCTCTTCATCCTCCTCTTCTTCTTCTTCCCCTTCCTTTCCAGCCTCCTCATCCGTGATCCGGTCGAGCTCCTCCTCTGTGGAGGAGAACATTGCGGATCGGACTTCCTTCTCCAGCTGGCTGAGTTGATGTGTGAGGCCTTCAGTTTCTTCCTCGTGATCCTTACCGACGCATCCTTGGTCCTCCTCACTCTTTCCTGCTCGGTCTAGTTCATCGTCGGTGGACGAGAAGTAGGCCAGCTTGGACTTTGCCACCAGCTTGTACAACCTCGATTTCATTTCCTCCTCTTCCTCCTCCTCCACTTTCTCATCCTCTACTCCGCCTCTTGCCAAGTCCACCTCTGCCTTCAAGTTTTTTATCCTTTCGTTGCCGGTCTCGTCATGCCCATTCCTGTTCTCCTCTGTGTCAGCCTCGTTCAAGTCCTCGTCCTTTTCATCATCTTGGCTTCTCGCTTGTGCGTCACCGCTGCCTTTTGTGTGGCAAAGGCCTTCCTCCCTGACTGAAGAGTTGGAGATGTGTTCTAAGGGTTGTGGTGCATCCAATGGAAGCTCTTGCTCCACTTGACTGATGTCGACGTTTTGGTGGAGCAGATCAGGAGTCACCGCGTCGGGTGTCAAAGTGTCAGGAGTGTCGACATCGCTGGGAGAACAGGAATGGACATCTTTCTTGTTATAATCCTGTCAATGGGAAGAAGGCACAAAGCAAAATAAGATGAGTCAATTGGAGGGAATGAACCGACGAGTCGATAAGTCAACTGAACCGCTATACACGAAAAGCGCAGTGAATCGGGGTGGTGATAACAGAAAAACTGATTGAGGCTCAGTTTTGTCTCACCATGGAAAGAGGTCCAGAAAGTGTTGCTCTTCTTTTACTTCTTCTCTTCCTTCGTGATCGCTTAGCTTTCCCGGACGCCGCCTCACTTCCGGCCCCACTATCGTCCGGAGCGGCCTTCCGGTTGAAGGTGATGTCGATGATGCCGGTCCGGTGTGACGATGGCAGTCTGCCCTCCGTGGGCAGCATCTGCCTCCTAACAATCGCCACCGGAGATTTTTTAAGCTTCCCCTCGGAGTCAGACCAAGCGTCGTTTCTATTCGCTGCATCTCGACGGACTTTGGAGCCTGTCAGCTTCCTGTGGAACTCCTGCAGGATAGCGCCCCAGGAGGAGTCTAGCTCTGGTTTGGCTTCGTTGTCAGAATCCATGCCCTCATAAGCGGAAACCGCTCCGGACTCTCTCTCCAAGGCACTGTAGACTTGACTCTTCCTCTTGGCCAGCAGGCTTGGCCGAGACAGCTGAGCGCTCTGCAGGGCGATCCAGTTCCCATCTGGACTCTTGAGCACAGAGGACACACCTCCTTGTGAAGGTCCATGTGCACATGTCGAGACAAATACGAAGAGGAGGACACACCATAAATTTGAATATAGACATTTCGGTGCCCTCTCAAATTGTTTAGAGGGGATTGTAAATAATACATGGCAACGTAGTGAATTGGAGGTTGTGTTTGTGCAGCGAACTTGCCGTTTAGTGCAGTCAATCATATTAGTTCAGTGGAGTGTCACCTTCGTGAAGTTGAACATTCAAACTGGGACAATTCATTGCCAATTTATCACCGTGAACTTTCACATTTGTGCGGTGACCTGGTGGGTTCGTGCAGTTCACTGTTATTTAAACTCATGCAGTAGTTTGCCGGTTTAGTACGCCCACTTGTCTTATTAGTGGAGTGGTCTGATGAGTTAAATCCAGTCAAGTGCAGTGACCTGTGGTTCAGTGCCGTAAATTTCACATTTACGGCAGTGAATTGTCCTGTACAGTGGTTCGGCGTGTTCGAACCGTGACTCTCCATGGGCTATGACTTGTCATTTGTGAACTGCCAGCTGAGCGCAGGGAATTCTCCTGTAATTGCAGGGGAGTGGCAGTTTAATGCAGTGGGCTTCCAATTTAGGGGCAACGAGCTGCCATTTTAGAGCAGTGAATTGTTCATAAGTGCAGCGCTTTGTCCCCTGAGAAGGTTGAACTGGAAACAAACGTGACGTACCAGAGTTTTCCAGACGCTCAACATTAGTCCACGGAGACACGCTCGATCCTCCTTCCTCAGGCGATGTCTGACGAGCGTCTCGGTTGTCGTCCATCAGCGAGAAGGCGGATCGCGACCGCTTCAAATGAGACAAAGCCGCAACGCAGTGAGTGGTTCACCAGTTGGGTACAGCTGTTGTCACTCTTGAAGGCAGACAGTGAGGCACTGGACGTTGTCACCCACCCAGAGGCCTTTGAGGTGTTTAAAGGTTTCGCCGGCCTGGTCGCCAGGGTGGTGGGCGTTGTGCTCCGGCGATCCCTCCTGCTCATACTCGTCCCTCATCTCAGCCAAGGTCTTCCTCCTAGTGATGATCTTACATGCGCGAGTAGAACGTCAGCTGGCGTTCTTGCATGAGCTCATACGAGGGCTCCAACACTTAGAATCATGTGTTCAATCAATTTTGTATCTTGGCTCTTACTTTTTGGATGATTGTTTTTGCCAGCTCCTCAATGAGCTCTCCTCTGTGCTCACGCAGGTAATGGGCTTCATTTTGATTCTCCTGATGACACATTAGTACATTAAAAAAACATAAACTGATGACCTGCCATATACATATCATCTCAGGTCAAAAACAGATTAGCAACAGTAAAATCTCAACGTACAAACAGTGGCGTGTTTGAAATTGGAACCACAGAGGAGACTTAGCATGCATTTGATGAAGTAAGAATGCGGCGCAACAGTAACCTGACTGGCAGCATCAAACTCTGCGTTGGAAATGGCCTCGTCTATGGCCTCCTCCGCCACCCGGAAGGCCACAGTGAGCGTCTCTGCCATGCTGTGCTCTGAACAGCAACACACACCAAAAAAAAAAAAAGGGCATGAAATTGTCATGCTCTTGCGGTGCACAGTGAGCTGGAACTCACGTGCGTGTTACATGACCACGCTGCAGTGCGAAATGAGAGCAGAGAATTTTCACACTAACGCAGTGGACTGGTGGCTTTGCGCAATTTCATTTATTGTGCAATAATCGAATTGTAACATGTATTTAAGAGAAGAGAAGAAAACCTTTATTTGTCTCACAACGGAGACATTTTGTTACATATTTTGATTAATTTTTATGCTTTACAAAAGATTTCTGTCTGAATTTCGGAGGGGCTTGGAACGGATTAGGGCATTTACATGGAAAAACGTGTCTCTCCTAACAACATTTTCTAGTTCCGAAATTTCTTCCAGAACCAATTCATTTCGTAAGTAGAGGTACCACTGTATGTCAATGCAGGGAACTGGCAGCTTCCTGAAATGACAGCGATGAACGTTGCCCCGTGGTCACCTTCAGTTTGTTTGTAGAAGGTGGCGTCACTGCCACAGACGCTGCCTTCATTGCAGATGCTCTCCTCGTAGGTACTTCCCTCTGCGACACACGCATATATACATATTACACTTTCACAAAATGAGAAAGAATTACTGTTTATGTCTGCGGGTCACGACGACCGAGGCGTAGCCTCTGAGGGAGCCGGTGGGGGTGGGCAAGA